CCAGTGAAGGATGATAGATGAGAATGAAGCAGGTCAGTTAGCCCATCGTGACGAATTCAATAAGAATTGTTCACGATGGTTCCCAGGGAGAACCACGTGGAGGTCAACCTAATAGGTCATATGGCTAACAATGAGGCTGTCAAACTTCATTGCTAACAACTTCTTTCCCCCCGGGTCATAGGTATTTATCACATTACCTGTAAGTAACTCAGTTTGTACGTAAAATATAGGTATATTTTACGTATACAGTAAAAGTTCTTTATTAGCGGACTATACGTTCCGTAAAAATGTCGCGAATATAGAAACCGTGAATATAGAAAGCCGAATCACTTATACAGCGGCGACAGTAATTGACAACATACTTTAGGCGTAGTTGTGTAGGTCTGTTTTAATTTTTTATTAATTCATTTGCCGACGCCTATACAAATGATACAGAGTTCTTTTTATTAATATGTACCGATTAGATCCTCGAGTAAAGAAATCTTTAACCGCGAATATAGGAATTGAGCCGCAGTTTTTTAATTCGCGAATAGTGAAAACGCAAATAAAGGAAGCGTGAATAAGGAAATTTACTGTATACACAATGGAATTCCACATAGTGTGTTTCAATAGAACTTAATGAAAAGGTAACCGGGATTTGTTGAAATTATAACAGAAGTTTAAATCTAAATAAATTTTGTAACAAATTGAAACATTTATTCAATTGTTTTTTTTTTTATTTATGCACTGTTGAACACCAGCAGATGGTCTTAATAGACAACTATGGGGGGGGGGGAGAATTGTTAGTAATGGGTCCTAACTGACCCATTACATATCAGGTCGACCTCCACGCGGTTTCCCCTGGAAACCATCGTGGTTTATTCCAGTGGAATTCGTTACGATGGGCCAACTGACCTGCTTTCATCATCACCTATCATCTATCGTGCTCCACCAGTGTACCGATAGCGTAGGCGGGGTCACTATTATATTATCACCCATAAAAAAAATAGCCACCTGTTAAGACCGTCTGCTGATATCCAACAGATCTGAGTCTATTATTCATATTTTTAAAGTTATAATTGTACAGACTGTTAATATCTCATTTTATAAACAAAGCATATTAGCAGTTGTACCACGTGTGTTTTATGTACGCAAATTAATACGTAACGTAATACTATAGTATAATGTAATATATTATTTGTGGCATAACTATATACACGTTTGGGGATGCGTGTCCCGCGGCAATCACGTACTCGCGTGGCTCTATTTCACCTATCACGCTGCGTGATGCGTAGCAGTGTGTATTCCGCGTTACCAAGGTCGCGTTATCGTATAGTATGTTTAACATTATTTATTATCTAATGATTCTAGTTGAGAGTCCTTACAATTCAAAAATGACAAATACAGTTGGCGAAAATAAAAAACACTAATTTTTAAATTAATAGGTACATTCTTCATATTATTTACAAGGTAGGTAGGTGCTATATTAATGTATGAAAGTGATTAAAAAGAAATTAAAGTTGAAATAAACGTTGTCACTTATTTACAAGAACGGTTCTCAGATTTCAACTAGATATTTATTTTTTTATAAACACTTAATTGACTTTGAAATATACAATAGGTATTGCAATTATTAGGTATACTTGATATAGATACATGTATTGTTTTTAAAATATGCTAATGATTTTCTATTATATCAATTCGCTCAAAGAAAACCAATCCTATATAAATTCTTCGTGCCTTACTTAACTCGTTCTCCATAAATGCCCAACCAATAGGTAGAAACACCTATTACTTACAGGTAATATATGTAATCGTAAACTCTTATTATTCATTATAATATATTTTTAATTACAGGCAGTAAAACTGTCAATGATGCCATCAATTTTATTAGGTATGTCTTGTTGATTTTTATAACATTAAAAATAGTGTACGGTAGGGTAATATCGCCGGTCGGTTAATATCGCCACTCTCTTGGAAGTTATGGAATGTTACATAACTTCCAAGAAATATAGTACAGTTATAATAACAGAAGTTAATGGTCATATTACACTTCCGTACTTTATTTAGGAGGTACCTACTAACACCTTTTAACATTTCAATGTACAGTTCAATCTTAAACCTATCTTGAAATTTATATGTTAGTACATATTATTTTTCTAGAATTTAATTTACTTATATTAATATAATATGCTAAAATTACACTATTAGATAATGTTATTAATATATAAATTTGCACTAAAAATATTCATTAAAATAAAAACATTTTTATATTTGTATGGCAAGTGAAAAAAAACTACTTAATAAGTATTTTTTTATCTAGTTTCCCGATAATTCTTATATTTTTCTCATTTTTGAGATAATGCAAAATTACTGAGCCTAGTGCAAAAACATCTCCTTTTACAAGTTTTACAAAGTGTAGCCGTCATTTTTTATTCTTGAGTAGTTCTTGCATCAAAGACCAGAAAATGTAAATATTATCCATAATCTAAGTCCGGACATTGACACAGGAGCTGTTTAGTTCAATTTATTATATATTTATATATGAAAATAAATATAGAGTCCGTTGAACCACATTCTCCTATAACATTACATTCCTTTCGCAGTTGGGTAACAATCATAATTCCAACGTTGGTCTAATATATTAACATTAGCCAAATAGTACAATACTAGCATAATATATTTTTTACATAATACGTCCATAGATCTATATTATACAAATGAATATACAATGCAAGATTTGATATTGTTCGTATCAATTTGAATTTAGAACAATTCCATAGCTATATAAATTATACTTTTTTTTTTAAGACAATTGAAAAGCTTTGGCATCTAATTATTCTGTCATCAAGAATTTTTTATAATTGTATTGCGACTGTTCAATTAAGTATAAAATGTATATATTGAATGAGAAATTTATTCCTTCCGACAATTCGATCCATTGAAATAGATTTTGCTCCACAAAGAAAAGACAAAATTTGTATTGTTATTTAATTTATATCTTGTTTTAAAATAAGATTAGCTAATATTAAATTTGTAATGATTGAAGTCACTGCTCACACAAACATACACGCACGCACGCAATCATTCGCGCATGCATGCATACATGCACGTACACACACACACATGCACGCACACACATACACACACACACACGCGCGCGCGCGCGAGCTTTCACATAAACACACTCATACACATACACACATATACATACAAATACAATTATACACACAATTTTCGACCTGTTTAAAAAGAGTTTGTTTTATTCAACAATAAAAAAAAAAACCAGGAACCTCGTGGCTGAGAGATGCGGATGCGCATCTTATAGAATCGAGCTATCGGAAGAGCGAAATTTTTAGACCATTATGTCGCCCGAATACATGGCAGACATTTGTAAAAATGTGTCCAAATTATAAATTGTTAAATACTGTACATTTACGTATAGGACACTATGTTATAGTGAAACTATTTTAAAACGTCTATTTTTATGATGATTACAGAGCAATTAGAAAGATATCCTTTTAAAATAGTTCCATTCTCAAATTTAATATAATTACATCATATACAGGTGTCAACAAATAAAATTAATTTGATGGATTTTTTAAGTGAAAATCTAGCATTATATGTTCGTCTTTTTTTAAAATCGCGGTACATTCTTAGAGATTCTATATATATATAAATTTATATATATATATATATATATATATATATATATATAATAAATTATTATTAAATATGCAATATACATTTTTTAAGATTATTTTTATTATTCAGTTAGCGTTGTGCCACTACACGGAAAAGGTGAAATAAAACAAAAAAGATTAATTTCTTTCTAGTATTTATATATTATGTACCATTCTTTTTACGAGCTTTTCGAGTAAAATAAAGTTTTTTTTTTATTATTTGGTATTTAATTATAACGAATTTACATATCTGAATGATTATTACCTGCAATTTTTATTATTATGTTTAATAATCAGAATCAAATTAATTTTTAACTTTGTTGAAACATCCTGTATACATAATAACTAACAGTAAGATCTAGTTCATTAGCTTTAGATATATCTATGCCATTACAAATTGTTAATTTATCTAATTGAATCAACTTATATTACAGTATTGTATGGAATCAAATTAAAACATCTAAATTGTAATAAATAACGCGATTGGCAGAGAGGGCAGTCTACATGGATATTTTATTCATCAGGCTCGTCGTATGCTCGCCACATTTGATGAAAACAAAAATTAAATTTGTGAAGATGTTTGGATTTTTATTACTCAAGTATTTGAATGTATTTTGATAGACAGATAGGATACGATTACTCATGCAGGCGATGTCAAGAGTTAGAACTAATAATAAAAAGAACTAATAACTAATTGTCAAGGTTTTTCCAAGAGACTACAGCATGGGGTTTTTAAATGGGTGAAGAGGTTTCTTGAGGGCCGGCAACGTATTCTTATTGCCCTGGTATTGCAGGTGTTCATAGGCTACGAAAGTTGCTTACAATCAGATGGGCCATATGCTTGTTTGCTACCTTAACCTGGCATAAAAAAAATACATTTTTCTCGGTTTTTATATATAATCTTTATGTATAACTATATAAATGTACAAATATATAAAATACTATAAATATATTTTATATATTTATATAAAATACATTTATAGTAATATTAATAAAAAATAAATACAATTATAAAATAAAATACATTTATAGTAATATTAATAAACTCAAAGACTGTACAAGTAGAAACTTACGCAATATAAATAAGCTTATTTTACCTAAATGCCGTCTGCACAAAATCAGTAATTCATTCTATGGTAATTGCATAAGATTTTATAATAAACTGCCAGAATCTGCATTAAATCTGACAGAGAGGCAATTCAAATCTTATATTAAACAATTTTTATGTAAGAAAGCCTATTACAGGATAGACGAATTCATAGATGAAAATATATCAAGTAAATAATTACTTTATTAGCATACAACGTTATAATTTTATTTTCTCACTGCTTTCTTGATTTAATTGATTGATTTTAGAAATATGAAAGCGTAGCGGTTTTTGTATTAATTGCCGCATGCATTCTTATGTAAAATGTGAATACTATAACTATCAGATGGCAATTGTGAGTAGCTTTGACGTGGTCTAGTGTTTTGAGTAGTCATGCTCACTAAAATGTCCAGACTTGTGGCGGCGTGGTGGGCCGGGTCATTGGGCTCCCTAAAACATGGTCGAGCGCAGTGATGGCTGGCTCATCCGTCATACTCGTGAACGGGTGCTGCTTGTAGGGACTGGTCTGCTCTAATCACTATGACTGATTTCCTCTTATTAATTGTTTAACCAGTTGGTTATGTATTCAATATTTTTTCTTTTTGAGTATTTAATTGAATTAGTGCTAATTGGTGGTTTGTATTCACACACTTAAACTTAAAAATGTAAAATAATAATAATAATATTTAAAAGAGCAACACGCAAGTTTCTTGCTCGTTCTTCTTGTGATGAGACAGCTTTCCGAACGAGCGGTAGATTAAAAAAAAATGTAATGACTATTCAAAAGTGCTTCAATGTAAGTTTATTTGAATATATGATTTTCTATTCTATTCTATTCTATAAATCTAACCCGCGGCTTTTCCCTGAATTAGTACATAAATTATCCTGTATGCTAAGTTAGGATATAATCTACGCGTGTACCAAATTACATTCAAATCCGTTCAGTAGTTTTTGCGTGAGAGATCAATAAACAATCATCCATCCGATAGTTTTTGTTGATAGATAATGAAAATTTAACCCCCTTTTATTCATAAAAACAAAAACCATCTACAATTCTATTACACTGTTTTGTCACTCTCTTTCAAATTTGATATTAAGCACGAAAGAAAGAGACAGAACAATAGCTGAAATAGGTTTATGACAGTCTTGACGTTTTTATAAATAATATTATTGTTAAATGTTTCGTAAGAATATATTATATTTTAATATAATGTCTCGAGCGTAATAGCCGCTCATGATTAAGTATCACGAATGCATCTTGTAACTAGTCGACCTTTCTCGATCTAATTACACGTAAGTTAGACCGGTAGTTATTACATTAAAATGTAAGGAGGTATATTAAAATTTAAGAATTCTATACTAACTGTATACCGCGGCTTTGTTCGCGCGAATCAGTATTTAAAGTATTGTCTGCGTTAAATTCGAATAAACGAATAACCTGTCTATATATTTAATTCGAATCCGTTCAATCGTTTAAGTGTGACTAAGTAACAAACATCCAAATATCTTTATATAATTTCACATCTATAATATCAGAGTAGGACAGTTGAATAATTCATAATAATTGTCAAAAAAAAGCATATACTCGTATACGGTGGAATTGAGAAACCTCCTCCTTTTTTGAAGTCGGTTTAAAATAATCACGTTACCGTTACTTGAAGTATTGGTTATTCATCAATGCAATACGTAATCGGTAGACCACCCCAATCAGCCGTCACGATCTTAACTACGCCGGCGCAGTTCATCGTCATCGCAGACCGAAGTGGATCAACGCTGAAGTCAGGAGTAGCAGGAAGGTACCGCTGGATGTGATGCCGTGGATCGCGCTGGTGTTCCGTCGAAGTATCGCGGCCATTTTGTTACCTGAAAAATATGAGGTTTTTTTTTAATGAAACACAATATGAAAAATTATTTCTTTTTGGATATACTTTTAGGATTGGATCCATAGAAATCTCATCAAATTGAGTTTAGTAGTTTGGTTTTGAAACCAAAATAACTTTTTTTTTATGATGTCGGTGTTTTAGTTTGTCCTTTGGATAGTTTAAAACACGTTACAAATAAAAATATCAATTAAAGACATTTTTTTTATATTTAACTAATGTAAGGTTTTCCTAGAGACTACAGTATGGGATTCTTTAAAAAGAGCCTGTTAAGGTTTCTTCAGGATCGGCAACGCGAACATATTTTATTTTATTAGCCGTTAACTAGCCACTGCTGAACATAGGCCATCCCATATTTGGAGGTTTTGCTAGTAGTTGCTACGCTTGGCAGGTAGGTTGGCAACCGCAGTTAGGTTTTGATGATGTTTTAAGAGGGACGTTGCTGCCTATTCTTTGACCATTAAGTTCCCTTATTCGCCTCTTGCGACACTCATGGGAAAGGACGGGGTGGCCCATTCTATGCCGGGACCACACGGCTTAGAATCACCATTATCACCATCCATTTCGTAGCTAAATGCTACGAAATGGATGGTGATAATGGTGGCCCATATTTTGTACTATAGTGAACAAAAGGCTGGAATTAATTCATTGATAATTTCATGTTATTACTTCTAATAATTAAAGGTGATCCTTTATATAGGGCAGAGATTGCTTAACATGTAATGTTAATATATTATGCGTAACAATATTAATTTTGAATAATATGGATGTGTTATAATTAATTAACACGATAATATAACACGGAAATAATTAAGTATTAATTAACATGTAACTTTATAGGTATTCTAGGCGCATAATTTGTATTTAGATTAATATTTCCTATTTATTAACGTAACTTTAATAATATTAATATGGATGTTTGGTGAAAGCCATGTATAATGCTATATAAAAATTATATGTCAATTTTTAAGAATGGTTGAAGAATTTTAAATAGTTTCGATTGATTATGTAAAACGAGCTCTTTCTATGTATATGTATATAGCCAGTGTGCGTATAGATAGAAAGAGAAATAGTATTATTTCCGTAACCTAACTGGGAATGTTCTTAACCGGCATGCCTTGGGTTTAAATCTTGTTAGATTAAGCTGTCGTAGGATTAAATTTTTCGTATTGAACATTGGTTTCATTAAAGAAAATTTTGTCGGTAGGACGGGGGGTTTTAAAAAACTTTCCGGCACGAAGGACCAATGTTGAGAGCGTGGACTGTACGAGTACTTGCATAGCAAAAATATATTTTCACATATCTATCAAAGAGATAACAATTATGTACACTGAGCGTCCGACCAGAGACAGAAACCATCACAATTCTATATTAAGACAGCAGATGATGCCACTAGTTGAAAATAAATATATTTTTAAGAATACATTTTGTTACTAGCAACATCTACTTACTGCCTTCAGAAACGAAGACGTGTATAGACGCTGGCTCAGTGTTGCTCGCGCTGCACGTGTAATTTCCGGAGTCTTTGAGCGTGGCCCCGCGGACCGTGAGTCTGGACTGTGTACGGGCCCCTGGCTCCGTCTCGACGGTGATACCGCCCCTCGTCGCATCGTAGTTGATCATCCGATCGTTGTGATACCAAAACACGTACTGTGGTGGTGTTGGGCTCTGTTAATAATAAAGATAATACATATATTAATATAATTTGATATATGGCACATGACCATTTAGAATCAAACTAAACTGAGGTCTTACTGCTACTGAGTACAAGACCACAGATGGGGGGGGGAAGGGATTGTTAGTAATGGGGAGGTTAGTCCTCATTGCTATTAATATACCTTATCAGGTCGACTTCCACGCAGTTCTCCCTGGAAACTAACGTGATTAATATATCGTTAAATTCGTCACGATGGGCTAACTGACCTGCCTTTTCATCCTCACCTATCACCTCTCACTGGTGCTCCGCTAGTGTATAATGATAACGCAGGCGGGGTTACCATGACATTTACACTTAATATTTTTTTAATAAAACTAAATTATCTATCTTACGAATACAATTCTAGATGGAGTTACAAGCATTTGTTGAGTGTTGCTGTTATGGTGAATATAATATTCGATGTGGCCATCATCATCATCATTACGATGTCCACATCGTATGTTACATTCATGGTGGCCATGTTTCCTTAAAATTATTTGAATATAATATAACGAAGCTCTGCTTACCAATGTGTCTTGAATAACTTTGGTTTGTTTATTTTTTTTCATTTAGTAGAGTTAGCTATCGTAGCATTTTTTAAATAATGAATTAGTAATTTATCAGAGGGAGACTATGTATAAAAGTAGTCTGCTTGGGTCTATACCTCTGTATCATTCGTGTTTTTGTTGTAAAGCAGTTGTGTTTGCATGACTGTGTATGGGTTTGAAGGGTGGGATATGGTAGTGAAATTACAGGGAACAGAGGCGTAACACCTTAGTTCTCAGGACTGGCAACGCATGAGGGGTATTATGGGCGATACAGTATACTCTATTATATCTATGGTACTGTTCATGTTTATAGGTGACGGTCACTACATCCTATCAGGTAGGCCGTCCGGTTGTGTGCCATTCTATGTTGCATAAACATTTTTTGAAAATTATTTTTCAAAATTGCTAGACTATTCTGAAATTATTACACTTCGGCGCTTTATGAATGCTAAGGTCGCATCGTAAAGTAGAACTTCAAAGGAAATATTACGAGTCAGCTTATTCCTGAAATGTATTGCTATAAATATCCTCGTACGGCCTTGCTTACATTTAAGATAAGGTAGTTTAAAAATTCATCAGTACGCATGTGTAACCCTGGTATGTGATTACATTTTATATAGCGCGCATGTTTTATTTACAGTATTTCGACTCTTTAATATAAGTATACATATACCGTAGAGTAGAGAGATGAGAGTATGTTACTTGCATTTTACTAGGGAGGGACTGTACAAAAGTCATTTGCATGGATCACCTCTGTACCATTCACGTTTCTGCAGTAAAGCAGCTGTATCTACTTGAACGGTTGTTTCGACTTAAAGTTGTTAATATACCCCATTTTCTAAAAACCTAAACACAGTCACGCAAACACAGCTGCTTCACGGCAGAAATATGATGGATATTATCTGATATACATCATATTTCTGCCGTGATGACTTTTGTACAAGGATACACAGTTTATGTATTGCGGAGACTGATGGCTGAATTAGGAAAACCTGTGCTACAGCCACCAGGCCACCACCTCCAGACAATTTGTAAAAACATAAATAAATAACATAAAATAAATAACAAAATAAACTATGTAACGTTAACTATACATTATTTTATAATTCTAATTATTCTAATGATATTATATAATATTAAAGGATAAAGTCCAAGAACGGGTGTGTGTGTATGTTAGAGAATCTGTGTGTGTGTGCGTGCGTGCGTGCGTGCGTGGCTAGTGCGTGCGTGCGTGCATGCGTGCATGCGTGCGTGCGTGCGTGCGTGCGTGGCTAGTGCGTGCGTGCGTGCATGCGTGCATGCGTGCGATCGTGCGTGCGTGCGTGCGTGCGTGGCTAGTGCATGCGTGCGTGCATGCGTGCATGCGTGCGAGCGTGCGTGCGTGCGTGCGTGCTTGCGTGCGTGTGTCTATGTACAAATTTAAATTAATAAAATGAGATCTTTAAGTTATGATGTGGGCAACTTTACCTTTTCTACAATACATATGAGATGTATCACGCTGCCGAGATCCACGTGATGCTCTCCAGAGCCCAATATGAAAGCCTCAGGGATCACTATTTGCAGGCGAACGTAGTGTGACACTATTCCGGTACGGGTTGACACCTGAAAAGTACAACATGTAGTTTAGAGTCATTGAGTGGCAGTGGTGGGCGTATTGTATAGCTTAAATGAGGTACCAAATTCGATGCGTGGTCGGCACAATTTAGTAAATGTATTTTAATAGATCGGTATGGCTCGGGTTTGGATGTTCTGGAATCTGATTCTAGATATATTTGGTTCTCTGTAATTCAGAACTAGCTCGAGGACCAAGCGAAAGACGTGGTTATGGGGGAATAATTATCATTTTTACTCACGACTTTACCCATGGATTTGGACCGGATATATTTTTCAATGGATGAAAATGGGATGGTATTTTGCTTGAGCTATCGAAATATGCTGATGGGGACACCAGTGAGGGATGATAGGTGAGGATGAAAGCAGGTTAGTTGTTCCATTGTGATGAATGTACCAGGAATTAAGCAAGATTTATCTAACATCCTCTACGCGAAACACGTTCCATTAATCGACATACTTCTGCTGTATCAAATCGCAGCTCAAGTTTGTAACAGCAAATAAAGACAAGTGTGTTTATATATTTAAACATGAATATAAGTAAGACAATCAATGAAACAAATAAAATATATAAAAAAAGACCTAACATCCTGTAAATATAAATAATATGCCTGCAACTTCTCGTATAAACGCGTAAACGAAGTCAAGATAGATCATATTTGAGAATACATCTATGAAAACCGAATTCTATTTAGTGTGGACAAAAATTCAAAGAATAATATTTTGTACTTCTATGGCCTGCTATTGACTTATATTGCTCTGTGGTCCCGGAATAGTATGGGCCACCCTTTCCTTTCCCATGGATGTTGCTTACAACGACTAAAGGAACTTAATGGTCGATTAATAGGCAATCACCAAAAGCCTAAATGCGGTTGTTAACCCGCCTGCCAAGCGTGGAAACCACTGGCAAAAACTCTTTAAGTGGGAGACCTATGTTCAACAATGGATATTTAATGGCTAATATGATGAGAATGATGGTGATTGCTCTTATTATGAGACTTCATATTTTTTTCTCTAAACAACTGCTATGTATCTCGGCTAGTTATAATTTTATTATATTACTTCACGTCGGATCAACGATTAATGTTTTACAAATCCGGCCCTATATGGAGTATTGCTGTCACTTATGAACGGGAGCACCTAGATAACAGCTTGAACACTTCGACTCAGTGCAACGACGAGCTATGAGAATTGTCGATGATCCCAGGCTTGCAAGCGGTATCGAACTCTTAAGTATTAGGAGAGAATTTGCCTCACTCTGCGTGTTCTACCGCTTGTACAATGGATTGTGCTCAGAGGAATTATTCAATATGATGCCTACGGCCACTTTCTATTGTACGGCTCGCCATCGACAGGGAGTTCACCCTCATACCTTACAGCCTAAATGGTCGCGTACAACGCGGTTTCAGAGATGTTTTCTCCCACGAACACTCAAGTTATGGAATGAGCTCCCTGCCGAGGTTTTCCCAAGAGACTACAGCATGGAGTTCTTCAAAAGGGGGTTAAAGAGGCTTCTTTAGGGTCGGCAATGCGCGCGTAATACCTCTGGTATTCCAGGCGTTCATAGGCTACGGTAACTGCTTACCATCAGGTAAGCCGTATGCTTGTTTGCCACCTAAGTGGCATAAAAAAAATTACTATCTTAGTCAAAAAGTAAGGATAACATAGGCAGTTTACATGGATTCGAAGTAATAGAATAATTTAATGAAAGAACTCCCCTTTGAGTGCATCCATTACAGAAAGAATTTATCAAGCAAGACCACGTAAAGGGTTTTAGAATGGCTATTTCCCGGGCCGTTCCAGTTAAATACGTCTATTGGAGTTCGAAATTGCATCGTACTTCACCAGGCAGGAGCCAGTAAAAATAAAAATGGAGAAAATAAATAAAAGATGCTCGACGAAAGAAACCCTATAGGAGTTGTAGAAATTACTTTAGTTTCAATAGTTTTTTTTTATTAACTACCTATCTATGATATTCGTATTATATTGTATTATATTACATTGTATTCGTCTACTTTCTTAACTTACTGTCAATTTCTAAAAATTATAGTTATGTTTGCGGTGTAAATATTTTTGTCAATGGGAAATGGGTGTAAAATTTTATTTATTAAATTTAATTATTATCTACTGATCATAGGACAATTTCTTCAATATTGGGTAGCTCATACATATTTACTAATAAAGAGATAGAAATGTATGTAACTGAATAATTTTCCACATAATTATAAATAAAACAGTATTATTTTCTTTTAAGATAAGATGAGATTTATTTTCTCTATAAATTTTACAGAAAACAGGCAGTCGCATTGAAAAATATTATTGGCGACCGGCCGATGCAAACTCTTTAGAATGTTCTTATTATTTGTAATTTCAATTTTATATTTTTTGACATATATCATATTGTTCTGTTCCTTGCTTGCTGTTTAATACATTTATTTCGCTACTAAATTCCGTGTCTACATCATTTCAACACCTCATTACAGTACACGTATATATATATATATATATCCCACAAGTTTTACATTGTCAGTTATGCATTTATGCATAACTGACAATGTAAAACTTGTGGGAGACTGGACCCTAAACTAGATCAGTTGGAAAATAATATATGGTATGTTAAAATAGCATACCTATTGTATTATTGTACTTTTTTTTTTGTATAGATAAGCTTGTGACGTCGTTTTGTTGGGCGTGAAAATTGATGAGATGGTTTGATTGAGTGACCGAATGATAAATTGAATTGATTCATGAAATTGTTTTTTTGTTATGCTACGTATGGTTTTTTTAGGTAATTTTTTTATTTAATTAAATTATTGATTGCTCATAATTTAATTTAATTTTATTTAATTAAATTATGTGAATCAATTGCATTCAGGTTCATGCCTTTCACTTATAAATTGTGCTAAACGTCAATTTACATGTATTACGTTTTTTTATACAACTTAGAATGGTAAACAAGTTGACGGCTCACCTGATGGAAAGTGGTAACCGTCGCCTATAAACAGGAGCAGTACTATGGACATAACAGAGTATACTATACTGTTTCACCCATGATACCACCCATGCGTTGCCATTCCTGAGGACTCAGGTGTTATTCCTCTGTATCCTGTAAATTCACTGGCATATCCCACCCATCAAACCGAAACACAGCCATGAAAACACAACTGCTTCATGCTTACGTAATTATGTCGCCAAATCTGAACTGAATTTGATATTTATTCTTGTTATTTAAATTATTTACTATCGTGTTGATCCTGCGTTCATTTTGAAATGACTAAGGTTGTTGTTTTTTGCGAAGTAAAAAGCTGCCATTTTCAATTATTATCGAAATTTACTGGATAATGCATAATTCCATGTTCTAAATTTAAAACAATCTATACTATAGACATAATATAACGTACTCATGCTACGCAAAACATGTTATTTATAGGTGTCATCATCGTCATCATCATGTCAGCCGTTAACTGTCCACGGCTGAACATAGGTCTCCCATTTGGGGGGTTTTACTAGTAGTTACGAAACTTGGTAAGCAAATTGGCAACCGCAGTTAGGCTTTGCTGATATTTAAAAAGTAACGCTGCTGCCCAACTCTTCAATTATTAAATTCCAAAAGCGAAGATCTTTAATAAATATAATCACTAAATTCTACGTTACTGGCTAATTAATTTCAAAACACGATAGTCAGACGGCAATAAATACACAATTATTGTTAAAGGCAATATCTCTTGGTCTCTATAGGCTTATGAGGTTTAGTTCCATAATATAAATGACTTCGCAGAATCTTAAAATTAACATTTCTCAAAATAGAAAACGACCGGGCAATTTAAATTGTCGAATCCAAAGTGTTCTATAGTCAATCAAGTACCTCCAGGGAGTTAATGTATTCTAAATAATTCACCCCTTCTTTTAGCAGGTGCGGGAAATAGATTAATTTTTTTGGTATTTTCTTTTTTTTTTTTTCATTAACGCGATTCGTAGAAGTAGAAGGTTTCTAATTTGTCTTTATTTTGTGGCTATGTTTTGATGACATTACTAATTGTCGACTGATTTCGATAATTCTTTTTGCATTCATCAAGGTTCACAGTAGGCTATAGTGCTATCGGTACCGTTACGATATCTATGTATTATTTTATTATGGGTGATAATGGAATGGTAACCCCACCCGCGCTATTGGTATACACCGGCGGGGCATCAGTGAGCGATGATAGATGAGGATGAAGCAGGTCAGGTAGCCCATCGTGACGACTTCAATAAGAATTGTTCACGATGGTTTCCAGGGGGAACCACGTGGAGGTCGACCCGACAGGGCATACTGCTAGCAATGGGGCTGTCAAACTCTATTACTAACCATCCCTTTTTCCCGATATCTATGTATTGGATTCCCATAAACATTGATAGGGGAAAATTGTTGTCACCTATATTAATACCATCTCCATCAGTATTAGATAATTGTTTGTCCATATTAGGGATGACCAACTTGACTAAACCCAAGATCTACTGTTTACTGACAAAACCCTGTGCGATCTACCAATTACATACTTCTTGGAATCTCAAATGAAACACCATAGTTCAGTACACAATTATGTAGTATTGTAGTATTTTCCCCATGGAGACCATCATGCTAAATTTCAGGTGTATTCATCATAATAGGCTAATTGGCCTGCCTTTTCATTCTCACCTATCATCCCTCACTGGTGCATCTCCAACATATACGCAGGCGGCATACCTATATTACCTATATTATTCTATTATCATCCATTAAAAAAAATCGACTCGTATATATTGACATACGACTAGATATTGTATCCAAAATATATAGATATAACTATATACTACTTGTTTCTATTTTATGGAGACGTTATGAAATATATCAACGTCCATCGGTGTGTGTTATTAATTTTAAAATAAGAACAATGAGATTATGGGTTAATGTTCATTTTGACATAATATAAATACAAGCTTTTTTTCTTCTTCTGTTTTTTTCTTTAAAC